GTCTCTAAGTGTAGCCCTGTGATAGACTGGTGACCTGTCCAGGGTGTCTCCTGCCTTCACCCTGAGTCAGCTGGGATAGACTCCAGCCCCCCATGACCATAGTGAGGATTAAGTGGTGTATAGATGATGGATGGATGGATGGTTCTGTACAAGAGTGAAACAGCTACAGCGTCTGTTTTTCTACATTGAGTTTTGCTTTAAATACTTTAAGTATATTTCTTGCTCACACTTACATACTTTCATCTGACTTTTAGATCCCAATGGAGGCAGTTTTGGTCCAAATTTCTCATGAAGTTTTCATTTCATCGAGGTGGAGCGCGTCGAATTCAATCATCGTTATAATCTGCCATCAGATCCATGTCCGTCTCCACACCCAACACTCTGTTGTTTTTTAAAAAATTGCTCATGAATTTGTCATTGCAGAAATATTAAAAACTAATCACAAAAAGAGCCGGAGCTTTGGAATGATGGTCCTCTCATATTTGTATGAACTGAAGTGAGATCAGACTTTATTAATTTCTTCACTAGTTTTCACACTTGAAGTTGTTTCCTAATGTTCCACATGTTACAATAAACGGCAGAATTTACTCTTTCCATCGATACTCGTCGTCTCTTTGCGACGCAGCAGTTTTTACAGCTCATTTCTGCATTTTTCTCCAACACAGAGCCCACCTTGCATTAAAATTTCCTTTCAGTGAATCAACATATATTTACATTTGGCATTAAGGTCATATTTTATACATTTTTTACATCATACGGTTTCCCACCATCACGGTTCGGATAGTTCCAGGTTCCAGACAATCTTATCTGCACAGTTATGAATCTGAATCTGCATTTTAACATGAGATACAAATAAAAACAGCTAATTCATGCTAGAAAACGTCATTTTTAGTAATATAAAGGATAATCTGCAAGCGTTGTCATCTCAAATAATAAAAGATCTGACAATAACGTTGGGTTCACTGGGTGAGGAAACCACTTTAAACTCTGGACTTTTACTTGTGAAGCCATATGTTTAGTGTGGTACGTTGTACCTTTTAACATCTAACCCCATTTTTACTAAAAAAAACAAACAACAAAACACCAAAAGCTTGGAAGCATTTTGTTTCTTCGTCTCAAAAAGTGTGCAGCGCATTTAGAGATTCACCCAACAGTTTACTGCATAGCAAAAGCTGTAGTGTTGATATTCTAAAATCCTTTACAACGTTTGATTAATGAGGTTTTCCATCATGGTACAGTTTGTCTGATCTGATACAATTTTGACCGATGCCCTTCAAAATACAGCAGAAGAGCTAACAACCAACAAAAACACTCTTCATCACGCCTGAGGTCTCACAGATCAACACACGTTGTTTACCAGTGACACCGATACATCCACAATCTAAACTTATTCCTGTAGACTTTTACTTTGAAAAGGCCTCCCTTTGCTAGTTTCTGTCATAGATTAGTATTAATCTTTATGAACATTTCATTCTGTGGTTTAGATTTCATTTTTCTGTTTTTGAGCACACAGTGAACATCCCGTCTCAGTGAAGTGGTGAAAACTGCAACCTTTATTTAAACCAGGTTACAGACAAACACACTGTTTTCTATCAATCTTACATTAATAATACACATATCGAAGTATAGCTGCTTAAAATTCTCACAACAACCAGTGGGTCTGTCGTTACAAACCTGCTGGAACAAGCTGATACAGACAAATAAGATCTTTTTTACTCAACTTTTCAGCTACTTAATGGAAAACAAATGTGTTGCTTTTGCACAATCTCTCATCTGAGCAGCTCGACAGCGAGAGCTGCAGCGATCGAGTTTGCAGAAATATGCGACTCTGATACGTCTGCATTTGCTGCTTTGTTTACGCGTCGAGAATAACATATAACTAAGTGCATAAACAGCGTGTTAGCCTGACAGGCTGCAGCCGCGGCGGCTTGGGGTCGGGGTAATATTTCATAAGCGTGTGGGCTGGAGGGAGTTCCACACTGTGTTGTTTGTGTTGGAAACTGACAGTTTGCGGTGCAGGAATCGCCGCATGTTAATGTTCTGCTTTCAGCAAAAACATGCATTAACCTCAAGTCATCAACAACACACTGAGTGAAGGGATCTGTTGTAAACTTTTGTGTTTGCCCTACTTCTTTCCTTTTTTTTTTTTTCCGTTTGGAGGCAGCAGAGAAAGCTCCAAATCACAGGCTGCGTATGAGCGATGTGATGTCACCCGCTGGTTTGTGGATTACAGTTTTGAGGCCTTACGGTTTGGCATTCGGCCGTCGCCATCTTGGGTTTTTCTGAAACAAACGAGGGGCGGATCTGACCGAGAATGTCGTGTCTCGACAATCGAGAGGCATCCACGCCCTGCAGCACACCCACCTTTTTTTTTAAAAATCTGTTGTACTGTAAATAGGACCATAAGTCAGAAAGTTAGCATCATGATGTGTTGAAGGAGACTTGAAACTGAAAGCTGACACCAGAAAGTGATAAGAAAAATGTTTATTTGAGCAACAGTTACAGGAGAAGTGGGGTCATAATCTCCTAGATTTCTGTACAGTCGGACTTCTGTTTGCAACCAGAGGAGTCGCCCCCTGCTGGCCGTTAGACAGAATGTATGTTTAAGGCAGCGTGGCATCGACGTGACCTTAGACAGCTTTAGAATTCATTTGAAGTCCTGTCTTAGAGGCTTTGTTTGATTTTAATCCTCTCCAAAGAAGAAATATCCAGCTCTTTAGATGCTAAATTCTTCACCATGTTCACTAGTTAGTTGCGAACGTCTTTGTCATCCTTACAGTTTATTGTTGGACACATAACAGACACAGTTTCCTCAGTTAAAATAACCACTATACCTGTGGATAGACCGATTAGAGTCATGGGAGTGAAGAGAAAACAGTAGAGTAGAAGAACTGAAAGACTCTGAATCGCTGTGTAGAGATAAGATATGAAACAATACGATGTAGTACAATAAGATACAAACAAAATGATACGATTAGATAAATAAAGATAACATACGATTAGATAAAATACAATATAAAATAAAATGATACAATAAGATTCAATAAGATACGATAAGAGGATAAGATACAATAAGATCCAGTAAGACAAGATAAGATACGATAAGAAAAGATACGATACAATAAGATACGATAAGATACAAGATACGATACGATACAATAAGAAAAGATACAATAAGATACAATAAGATACGATAAGATACAATAAGATACGATACAATAAGATACGACAAGATACGATAAGATACAATAAGATACGATACAATAAGATACGACAAGATACGATAAGATACAATAAGATACGATACAATAAGATACGACAAGATACGATAAGAGGATAAGATACAATAACATTCAGTAAGACAAGAAAAGATACGATGCGATACAATAAGATACGATTTGATACAATAAGATACAATAAGATGCGATAAAGATACGAAAAGATAAAATATGATACAATATGATGAGAATAATAGTCCTGTGGGAGGACTCTAAAGGCAGTCGAAGAAAAAAAATCATCACTCCGAAAAGTTTGCTCAGTTTGAGAAAACAACATTATATAGTTACATTCAAACCATTTGTAGGCATGAAGGGATCGTTTTAGTGGAAATAAATTCATAAATATCTCATTTCGATACACAGAATTGAGTCTTCAGGGGTTAACTCAACAACCAGAGACTTGAAATGGAAGATGGCTTGACTCGAAGCATCACATCTGTCCTCTGGTGGTTCTTGAAATGAGTTCTGGAAAACTGCGGAAATTAATGGAATTACAACCAAAACAAATTAAACCCAAATTAGATTAAATGTCTTATACCAGAGAGATGGTTGTGATGAGAAAAGTATCGTAATTTGGTCCATATGTGACCAGAACTGTTAAGTGAGATTAGTTTGCAAGATTTCCGTGGCATCGCTTTCAGTCGGTTCAGCCAGCAGTTTTTTAAATGGACGTCGGCTCTTCCTCGCTGCGACGGCTCCTCGAGGGCTCGGCTATAAATACGAGCGTCCTCCTCTCGGTCGGCGGGCCTCGTTAAATATTGGTTCGCTGAGCGCTGCCAGATCTTTCTCCTCACTTTGTTTTAGCAGCGTGCCAGGCCTGCAGAGAGCATCGGAGTCTGTTCAGGCCGCTTTAAGGGACGCATTCATATGCATGGACGCTTGTTGAATGTGGACTTGTGCGTGTGTTTTTGTGGGTCTGTGAAGGTTTCGAGGAGGAGAAAACTGTGTAGGACTGTTTCTGGGAGCATTATTTACACTTTTAATTTGAATTCTGTCGTATGTCGGTCTGCAGGACGTGAAAGAAGCAGAAATAAAAAGGAAAAAAAGGCAACAAATGACCTTAAACAAGAGAGAAAAGACGAAGGCTGAAGCCAAAACTTCTTGTGCTGATGCTTCTATAGACATCAAAACACCAAAAGTCCTCATTGTGTTCCCCATTTTGTTAGTAAATCAAATAAATCCCAGCAAAAATCTGCAAAAAATAGCATACTACCAGTTATTTGAACAAAGTATTCTCCATGAACACAAACGTTAGGCCATATTTTTGTACTAACTGAGCTCTCTGTTGAGCATCATCTTCAACTTACTGTTTGTTTTTACTCATTTTTAATTCATCCTCAGATACATTCAGCAGTTTGACAAACAAAACACGTGACAGATTTGATTTAAAGACAAGTTTTGGGTGTTGTTTCGTAGTAGATTAATGTGGGGTTTGAAATGAAGTGCACATTTTTAATTTATCCTAAAAAAAATTCCATAAATTCACCAGCTGAACAGAGAAACACCCGTCAGATTCCTTTAAAAAACTAATTTTTGGTGTTCTTTTGCCGTAAATATTGTGACAATCAGAGCAACTTTCTAGTCTTCTTTGTCCTCAGAACTCTTTATGGTGTTTTGTGTTCGTCCGTCACGTGCTTCGGTGTGCAGACAAGCTCTATTTAAAGCCGCAGAGTAAACATTGACCTGCTCTGTATCTGCTCATCCCTGACCTCTGACCTCCAGAACCAGACCAGAGAGGCCGGATCAGGATCAGCCGACCAACAGATCAACCAGGAGCTCGCCTCACCTCCTCCTCACCCAGACCTCCGTCCTCCCCCGCCTCCGCCTCCTCCTCCTCCTCCTCCTCCGCCTCCCCCTCTGCCGCCCCCTCCTCACCTGCCTCCTTCGCTCCCTGCTGGACAAAGCCAGGATGCAGCAGCTCTGACCAAGAGCCACCAGTCGAAAGCAGGAAAAGGTGAGTGTGCGAATACATAAACATTAAAGCTCACTTTACTCTTCTTCCGACATGATTTTTGGCACCTAACACGTCCGGCAGCTTTAAGAAAGCCACAAATTATGCATCAAAACATGCGGCTCGATTGGGACTGGTGTGCTGTGTCTTCTGGTAGCGATTCGTCGTACAGTTTTTCCGAAATTTGCAAAAAACAGCGTTAAAAATCCCCGTTGAAATGAATTGGAAGTCAGTCAGACAACTGCCAAACCCGACCATGTTTGGAAGCCTGTAGCTCCGGCAGATTTTACAGCAGAAACTTCATTCAAAGTGCAAACAGGTCACACGGCTCTGAAGGGGATTCATGTCAATCCTCACTTTGATATCTTTTAAGGTTTTTACGCAGTCGTAGGTTAAGTTTTTTGAACATCCATAATTTTATAGTGACATCACAAACTCAAATAAATGTTATTTAAAAAGTGTCGTTAACCTCGTCTCCTTCTCATAATTTCTCCTCTACCTGAACAATTTATACATAAAAATGACGGCATTTCTGTCCTCTTTCATCCAGTGTGTGTCTCATCGCTGTAGGACTTGTAGTTTTTTCATAAATCACCTCAGAGCTCAGTGTGTCGACCAAAACTCTCACTGACTCCCATTATGTCTGAGCTCCTACATTTAAGGTGAAAATCAGGAACAGTGAGTCTCTTTAAGCTGCTGCCAAATCTGTATAAAACACAGAACGGATGTAAACATTCATTAGCTTGTTCACAACAAGTCTCTGCTTCACCTGGTGAAAGAATTTCTTGGATACGACTTTTAGTTTCTGAGCTGTGAGCGTTTGTTTGAGGGTCTGATCCTCAGTCTGCTGCTCTGCTCACTGCATGAACCGGTGACTCACAGCTGATTGGCTGATTGATGCACTTTCAAAATAAAAGCTCAAAGATGTTAAAAGAGCTAATTACTTGGTGAAACATGCTGGCATTTCAAAATAAAATGTACTTATGTAAATGATACCTTGTGTATATTTATAGCTGGACATATTAGCTGCATTGACAAACTTCATTTTCTAGTTTTTCTATGTTGCTGGACGGACAGCCGCTTTGTCTCACTTCCTGCATGTGTGTAAATCGTATCTATATGCACGCATGGCTTCAAATCCGCCATCCGTCTGTGTCATGTTCTACGCTCCAGTTATTCCCAGTCGAACAAGATGTGGCATGTTGGCACATCTGAACGCTACAGCTGAGCCTGAAGAATGCTGCCCCGAGGCTTAGGCGTGTGTGTGGTACAAAAAAAACAAAACACCTTCATATTTTCTTTGATTACAGCCGAGTAGTTTCACAGTGTTTGAGCAGACTTGTTGGTGAGCTGGTGTGCTGAGCTGCAGCGCGGTGGAGAGACTTCACAGATCATAAATAATAATCTGATTTATTTCTGGAGCACCTTTCTGAACTGGAGGAGGACATTAAAATGTACAAAGTGTTTAAAAGTGACAATAAAACAATAAAAGAAGACATTAAAACCTTATAAAGACAGTTGAACATCAACCATAGCAATACATCAGAAAGTACTATAGCGTTTGGAACTTGGAACACTACTGACACTCGGTATTTTATTGGCAGCAAGTAAACAAAAAACATCACGAGAAAATGATTAAAAGTAAAACCAGCCACCACTGAGGACTGGATTCACATTGTACCCTATGGAAAAGAGTGTGAAAAGATAAGTTCTATCAGATCTGGACTAAATGGGCTGAAAAACCCATCAGACTTACTTCTGATAGGTTAATTGACAACATTTGAGTTAACTGGAGGCACACCTGTGGATGTATTTTAAGGCACACCTCAAACACTCTGCTTCCTTCTGTGACAACATGGAAAATCTAAAGACATCAGCTAAAATATCAAGAAGAGAACCGTGGACCTCCACAAGTCTGGTTCATCCTTGGGTACAATTTCCAGATACCTAAAGGTTTCACATTCATCTGTTCAAACAGTTATACACAAGTCTAACCACCATGGGAATGTCCAGCCATCATAGGCTCAGGAAGGAGACGGTTCTGTGTCCCAGAGATGAAGTGTTTTGGTTGAAATGTGCGTATCAACCCCAGAACAAAAGCTAAAGACCTGAGAAGATGCTGCTGAAGCTGGTCAGAGAGTCATTATCCACAGTGGAACCAGTCCTGTACTGACATGGACTGGAAGGATACTAGAGAGGAAGACGACATCACTCCAAAAGAAACATAAGAAAAAGCAGATTACAGTTTATAAATGCACACAGGGACAAAGAGCTTCATTAGTGGAGACATGTCCTGTGGTCTGATGAAACTAAAACTGAACTGTTTGGCCTTAATGACCATCGTTACATTTGGAAGGAAAAAGCCTGAGAACACCATCCCAACTGTGAAGCACGGGGGTGGCAGCATCATGCTGTGGAGGGACTGGTGACCTTCACAGAATGGAAACGTATGTAAACTTCTGATTTTAAGAAACTAAAAAATTCTCTCTCTCATTATTCCGGTATTTAGCAAATATAAATAATGTTGGTGATCCTAACTGACCTGAAACAGGAAAAGTTTAGTCTGATTTAATGTCAGACAGTGAGAAAAGAAAAAACTCTTTTCCTTCAGTGTGTAAACGTCTGGTTTCAACTGTACTTATTCCACACATGCACACTTTGGGTCTTGTACGCCGAAATTTAAATCAACTGGACTCTAGTGGACTCCTGCATAGTTGTGGATGGATTAAGAATATAACCGTCTGTATATGAAAAGATTGTTTCTCAACTCTTTGTTACTTCAACAGCTTCCACCCTGCAGGCCTTTGCACTTCCTAACAAACTGGATAATGTTAGTACCCGGCTGATCCGTTTATTTTGGTCCATTTAAGTAAGAATTCACTGGATTATCTGATGGAACTGAGCCGTTGTAAGGAAATTAGTTTAGTCTGTGCTGACAAGTCAGAAAGTCTGTTAACGGAGTGTTTTAGACTTTCAGGCGCTGTGGAGCTGTTTTCCTACGAGTTGGTCTCTGTTTTGTTTGTGGGTTGCAGACGCTCTGGTAATGCGATATCCATTAGTACCAATACTGTCCCACTGGTGTTCTACTATTAATATGCCAAAGCTATGCAACAATGCGCCAACAAAGACAGGAAGACTGTGAGCCGTCAAACATGGACGATGCAAGATTTAAAATGAACCAAAACTCTGCCATGCAAATGTAGAAGATGCACCTTGAGGATATGTAGTGGGGGTTTTGGAAAACTTGAAGGATCTCGCGTTAGTCGCTCCAATGTATCCTCGTTTCCTCATTTCTCTGCAAAAGTTAGCTCGACCCATAAACACAATAGCAGCCATGTCAGGTTTAAATAAACCACTTTAACCGTCTGAACCCCAAAACCTGCTGGAGGGTTTGAAAATATATTATCTTCTAAGATGAAATCACCAAAATCACAGCATTTATCAGAGTCAGAAACCAGATGAAACAAAGAATCCTTGAATTTGCCACTTTCAGACAGTCCTTGAACTATTCATCGTGACGCGCTGTTCTGTCGTGAACTCCGACCATAAAATCCTGATGTTTCATATTAAATTTAAGTCATCAAAACGTTCTTTGCTCCTCAGCGTGAACTATCAGGGACTCATTAGTGATGCAAAACTTTGTCGGCTGAACTGCAGGCAGTGTTTATGCAGAGCAGAGAGGAGACGAGTGTGGAAACAAACTGACAATATAGTAAAATATCTGCAGTGTGTAGAGTCACCATTGTTTCAACTGTTGGTAACATTAATGAGAAAAGTCATGGACATATTGATCCCAGTTGTTTTCAATTTTTGTAAACTGCATAAACAAAGACAGAAGGACGTTTTACAGTTCTCACTTCTTCTTCATGGTTGTTCTGTTTCCATTGAGCTGCAGGACTTTATATTGCAGTGAAAAATGAGCCCACGGTGAGTAAAATGTAACCGGAGCAATCTTCTTAAAATACATAATTTCCCCCCTTCAAATAAAAGCAAATGTTAGTAAACTACTGGTCTTTTCTTTTATTTAAATACAGTAAAAGAATTACACATTTGTACAGTTTGACCTTTTTTTTTTTATGACAAATGTGTCAATTAATACATTTTTTGTGTGATTTTACAAGATATTTTCTTTAATTTCAGAAAGCGGGAACAATCTGCAAAATGGCAGTTAAAAAATCTCTATTTCATAGTCGCTAATATACATTTTTTTTATTTCAAATAAAATAATAGTATTTTTGACAATATAAATACAGTAGAAAAATATATATATATATTTAAAAACCGGCGTCGTTTTACAGTTAAACGTTGCAAAATAATGAATTCCTCTTTTAGTAAAAACACAAACTTTCGATGTAGATGTTTTCCATAATTTAACATAACTGGGAAAAACTAGAATCGATCACCTGGGATGTCATACGTAAGTTTTATTTCGACGAATTGGAAATATTCTTAAAATAATCGTATTTGTGAAAGAATGAAGTACTATCTGTAAAAACAGATATTGTAATGAACATTATTTTTAGAGGGGTTAATATGTAAATTAATACTTTTTATTTCTGTGGTTTTACAGGTTATTATCTGTAATTTATCAAAAACAAATGAAATGAAATGAAAATGTTATTTTTGCTGATTTACATACAGTGATAAATAGTGTAATTGTGAGGTCCAGCGTTATAAAAGAATAAATTCAATTCCATGTTTGTATATTTGAGCTGTACGTTCAGATTCTGGTGGTTATTTATTTATTTTTTAGCGTTTCTAGAATCCTGCCTACTCCAGCTTTAACGTAGACGTTTGGCATTCCTGTGAGGAGCTTTAATCAATCACAGAGGAACATCTTCTAATCGGATCTTTGTCTCAGCGGCCTGTCTGCTGCTTCACTGAAAGCCAAATTGATCACCTGGGATATCTTCCATTATCAGTTATTAGGAATCAATCAGCCGGCGAGCAGCTGCCGGTCGAAGGTGCTGCGAGCCTCCGCAGGCCGACGTGTTATTGTCTTG